TCCCCCCCCAGGCTGCCACAAAGCCGCCATGCGGCAAGGAGTCTGAGTCTGGCTCTGGTGCTCAGCTGGGGTGACTCTGCGCAGCTCCACGGAGGACACGGGGAGCTCAGCAGATCTGCACCAGCTGGGGAGGTGGCCCACGCAAAAACTGAGTGGGAAAAGACCGACCACGTTTAGGATGCCCCATGGATGCCCATCACCACGGTATCCAGCCCCCCTGCGCGGACTCGAAGGCGGCTCTGCCAACGCTGCTGGCCCTGTAGCAGAGCAAAGCAGCTGGCCCTGGGAAGGCCGTGGGAATGCTGGGAGCCCTAGGCCAGCGCTGCTCCGAAGCACGGAGCCGTATTTCACCCTGCCTACCTGCGGGGGCTGCGCCCGATGGCCTCTTGAGCACCCTCCCAGCCCTGCATGCCGAGATGGCAGAACAGCACCACAGGCCTGGCAGGGAACCGGAGAGGCCATCTAGTCCTAGGCTCCTTCCCTTTCTGTCAGTGGCCACAGAGAAGCCCCGATCCCCGTCCTCTTCACAACAGCCCTGCACAGATCTGAGAACGGTCAGGATCACAGACCCCTCGCACTGCAAGGGCCCTCGAGTCCAGCCCCCTGCCCTCACGGCAGGACCCAGCACCGTCTAGAACAGGGGATCCAACCTGTGGGTCAGGACCCAAATACAGGTCGCCATTCCATTTCAAAAGGGTCGCCAAGCGTCTCCCCAGGTGGCTCTGCCCTCTCACCTCCCCTTGTTGTTGAACTGTCCTGGGTCACCAAGTCTTCCTGCATTGTCAAAATGGGTCCCCATCTGGAAAAGGCTGGGAACCGCTGGGCTAGACCATCCCTGACCGATGTCTGTCCAACTGCTCTGAAATCTCTCCAGGGATGGAGATTCCACAACCCCCCAGGCAATTTATTCCAGTGTTTCACCACCCGGACAGGCAGGAAGTTTTTCCTAAAGTCCGACCTAAACCCCCCTTGCTGCAGTTTCAGCCCATTGCTCCTTGTCCTGTCCTCAGAGGCCAAGGGGAACAATTTTTCTCCCTCCTCCTTGTTACATTCTGGCTGTGTCTACGTTGGCAAGATTTTGCGCAAAATCTTGCCGCCTGTCTACACTGGCCGCGAGTATTTGCGCAAGAACAGTGACATTCTAATGTACAAAATCAGTGGTTCTTGTGAGAATACTCTGACGCTCCCGCTCAGGGATAAGTCTTCTTGCGCAAGTGTCCTTGCACACAAGAACCCAGTCTAGACAGGTAACATCAATTTCTTGCGCAAGAAAGCCCAATAGCTAAAATGGCCATCGGAGCTTTCTTGTGCAAGAGAACGTCCACACTGGCACGGATGCTTTTGCACAAAAGCAAATCTTTTGCGCAAAGGCACATGCCAGTATAGACGCTCTCTTGCACAAATACTATTAACGGAAAAACTCTTCCGTTAAAAGTATTTGCACAAAATCATGCCAGTCTAGATACAGCCCCTATGTATTTGAAAGCTGCTCTCCTGTCCCCTCTCAGTCTTCTCCTTTCCAAACGAAACAAGCCCAATTCCTTCAGCCTCCCCTCAGAGCTCATGTTCTCTAGACCATTCCTCGTTGTTGCTCTTCTCTGGACTTTTTCCAATTTCTCCACATCTGAAGAACTGGAACTCCATCCCAGAACTGGACACAAGACTCCAACTGAGGCCTAACCAGCGCAGAGCAGAGCGGAAGAATGACTCCTCGTGTCTGGCTCACCACACGCCTGTTCATGCTGCCCAGAATCACGTTTGCTTTTTTTGTAACAGCATCACATTGTTGACTTATTTTAGCCTGTGGCCCACTCTGACCCACAGATCCCTTTCTGCAGGGCTCCTCCCTAGACACTCCCCGTTCTGTGTGTGTGAAGTGTCTCATTCCCCTGCCAGGCACTGAGCTGCTCTGCCCACCCCGGCCCCTGGGAATCCCAGACTCTCCAACGTCAAGCGCAGGCGCAGGGACTGAGACGTGCTGCCGCTTGGTGGCGCGGAGCAGCGGCAGGGGCAGGAACCTTCCTGGGCTGATCACAACGCCCCTCCGGGCCCTCACCTCCTGCGCGTTGTGGGCCTGCATGGCTTGCTCCCACTTCTTCTTATTGCTGCTCAGCAGCTCGCGCCGCTCCAGCTCGAAGGCTTTCTGAGAAGGAGACAGCGCTGTGAGCGGGTCGCCCTGCACAGCCCAAGGCCCAGCCCTGCCTGCTGCCAGCTCTGCCGTGCTGGAGGAACCTTGTTTGTCAGGCCGAGCGCTGCGAGCAACCAGAAGCGGCTTCTGGGATGGAAGCTAGGTCCCGGTCACTGCCAGGTGCCCCCCAGACTCAGGTGCAGCATGCTCTCTCTGTGCTCAAGGCCACACTGGGATTCAGTGACTCGTACACCCTAAACTCGTGGGCCAGGGGGTGAAACTCTCTGGCCTCTGTGCTACTGAATGGTCCCTTCTGGCCGCACACACAAGCAACTTTCAGGCTCTCCTGACCGTGGGAACTGCGAGAGGAAAAGACCCCAGGATCGCATTCGCTGGGCCCCCGGCAGCTCATCCCCCTTGTTATTTCCATCTGGCAAAGGAGGAGCTCTGACCCAGAAACACCTGCCTGCAGCCCGCAACCCAGCGTGGCGCGCCAGAGAGCCCGTCCATTACGGAGCACTCCTGGCGGATTTGCCAGGGCAACCATTCACTGCTTGCTCCCGGCCTGCTCGGAAGCTGCTTGCTACCTCGATCTGCGTGAGTTCCCGGCGGTAGGTTTTCATTAGGTTTTTGATCTGCTCCTCCATTCTGTCCAGCAGCAGGCTGATGTCGTCCGCCTGCTTCTTAAGATCCTTCACGTACTGGTCATCTTTGCTTTTCAGCTCCTGCCGGAGAGGAGTGGAGACGGGACTGACTAAGGGTTCTCTGGCTTGTGCAGTGCCGCAAGCAGCCAACATCTGACCCTACAGGCGGCAGGGAAAGGGACTTGGGCGAGGAGTGAGGCATGGAAGAGTGGTTAGGAGAGAGAAGAGAGGACGGGAAGATCTACCATGTATGCCAGTTGAGATGAAGGAAGCCCCAATGCTTGGGCTACTGCCTGGACTCGGGAGAGGCCTAGACAGCCCCGAGAGCCTAGGAAGTGAACTGTAGGAACAACCCTGCACTGACAGGAGATGCACTAGGGTGCTTGGCGGCTGTTCCAGCCCGAATGTGTGTGCAGACAAGAGCGGTAACAGACCAACGAGCCACTCCAGCGCCTCGCAG